AGCTCACAGAATGAATTGTTACCTTTTGGGAGGAACAGTGGAAGACAGGACAGAAAGAGGAGGGAGAACAGATCTGTAAGGCAGAGAGCTGGGTTTGCCCCCAGTCCTCAAGGGACCATCCTGGGAGCCACCAGGCCTCCTTGAGGTTGATACCGTAATGGATTTGATACTGAACACACACAATGGAGTTGGTATTGAACAAAAAGGATCTCATTAAGTACCTTGAAACAGGCATGCTAAAAAGCTATGGTCATTTTTTTTCCACCAGCTGAGCCAGGCTCCAACCATGCTGGGTGAAAGGCAGTGGATTTCTTCTACAGAGACACTGGCAATACCATCCACATTTGCAATGTATAAACATATTTCCTATGTCCTTTCTGAAGCACTGCCTCCTGATGCATTTGATTTTAACACCCAGGCTGCATTGAAAGAGTGAGGGTGAAACTTTATTTGCCTGCAAGACAGTTACACATGTAGTTAAACATACTTAACAAGAAAATATGGTCAGTCTGATTCCAGTGTTCTGAAAGACTGCTTTTGGCTCCTGGGGAGAGTACAAATTTTAAGAAAACCATCTGTATGGAGCTTTTGTTTCTAAGTCTAGAGACTATTCGTGTGTTGGCTGAGTCTGGTTGCAAGCCCTTGTAAGAAATGAAGGCCTAACACTAAGCAATTACCTTCCTTTGATTAAAGGCTTCTACTCAGCTAGTCTAAAATAAGAGTGGAAATTTTTTTGAGAACCTTACTCCACTGAAAGATGAAAGGTGGTTTTCCACTGAAAACACTGGCAATAAGCAGCCTTTCTAACCATAAAAGCTTTAAGGAAAATTATTTAACCATCTTTATGTAAAAATAGTTATTCCGTTTTCCTAAGGCTTCAAATCAAGCCTTTTTTTTTTTTTTTTTTTTTTTTTTTATTTGAATATTTTTTTTTTTTTTTTTTTTTTTTTTTTTTTTTTTTTTTTTAAGTGGACATAGTTTGTAGCAAAGGATAATATTAGGCTTTCCCATTTCTTGCAGAAAAAAGTGCCTCTGGAAAATACAGAATATAAAATGAAACTTGCCCTGGATTCAAGCTGGAAATGCACACACAGCCCGTCAGAGCAAATGCAAGATCATGATCATCAAGTAGTACAAGGGTCTGTGTAGGTATTTCACACAGGTGAAAACTGTTTTGAGTTTCATCCACACACAGGCAAGCACAGTGGAACACCAAGTGTCCATGTAAAACATCAAATGAACACTGACCTTCAAATTTCTCTAAATTGCTGCTTCTCTGTGAAGAAATGGATTTCTTCCTCTGCTTTTTGGGACTGGTCCCCAGCTGATGATAGGATAGACTTAAGTTGCTTTTCAGAAATTTCTGCATTCTATATTCTGATCTAAAACTCCCATCACTCATGTCTTACTGCACCATGACCTATCTTTTTCGGGTACTGGAGCCTTTTTCAAGACCTTGGAAGATCACTATGAGCGAGATTGCTCTCTGCATTCTGATTCTGTAAGTTTTTAACATCCAGCTGCTCCTCCAGATGTATCAAGGAACTTCAAATTCAACTGCTGTGTTATTCAGTAGTTTCAATATCTTTTCTGCACCACAGCAGCTACAGCTTTTAGTAACACTCTCCTTCATCTGTTACAGCTGAACTGAGATGTTGAGCATTTTGGGTTACCCACTCATCTGCACATTCAAAGTACTTTAGGAAAACAACTCTCAATAAGTAGGATCCGCAGGGCAGATCTCACACAGAGGAGTGGGCACCATTTTGAGCTGCAGACAGCTGCCACCAGGAACCGCCCAGGCAGATACCCACGTATCTGTGGTGCTGTGTTGACCTCTCCTTGTCCCTGGAGACAGGTGCCCCAGATTTCTTCCAATTCTATGTCCTGCTGCTTTTCTTGTTATGGAAGATCCCAAAAACCAACCTTGCTACAGTTTCTAGGAGAGAGATACACACCTTCTCCTTTACTGTCAGAACAGGGATTTTGAAACTGATTTTTCAGCCCACATACAAACACCTAGCCAGGCTTGCTTCTTTAATTTCAGCAACACTGATTAGAAGATCTGGCTTCTTCAGTCCTCTCTTTTACCTTTGTAATACTGAACACCTCTGACTAAAGTCTTGTTTTCATTCTCTTCACACCTATGTATGTCAGTTACTAAAGAAGATGCAAAAATGTCAACCAGTGTCTCAGACTGACAATTGTATTAATTACCTCTCACCCCCTCCACTCACAGATGTTTAGAATTATGATTCAGGAGCTGGACAAAGTTGACTTCAGGAGCCTTAAAGATAACTAGAATTGCTCTAACTGGCTTTCAAAAGGATAGTTCAAATAAGAAGCCAAACTGAGCATGAATTCGGAACTAACTGAATTTTCCTTCTCCTGCTACTATTATGAACTGTAATTCTCCACATTTCTGGAGTGTCTTCTACTCTAGGTTGCATGACAATTTAAGAGACTTAATTGGCTCTCAACATACCTTTCAAAAGTATTATTCCAATTCAATGGGTAAGAAAAGCACAGCATAAAACATCAAGCCATTGTTCAAGTGCATGGCAATAAAGATGACTTGCTGGAATAGCCCTTCCCATTTTGAAAAGTACAGCTTCTGTACCAGCTATTGTTGGTTTGGGTTTTTTTTATAATTCATAAATGAGTCAACATTATAAAAAATTATTAAAATAAGTCAGCATTAAAAAACATGGTGGGTTTTAATTTAATGGACAATCAATAGATATAGGCTGTCTTCTAAAATGGAAGTTGAAGAGAAGGGCAAGTTGGAGTCTTCAAAATGCATATAATTTTTTTCTCAGAGATGCTAAGATAAATCCATTGCTTTTCAGAGAGGCCACTTCAAAGGTAGTTACAAATATGCCCTCAGAAACAACAGGATTTAGTGTCTAAGAAAAAGGGAAAGGCGACCTCACAACCAGCAAACAATCAACTAAGATTGGTCCTATGTCAGTACATGAGATATTGCTCCATGTAAGCAATTATTTACAACTACATTCCAAACCTGCTGAAATAAGACCATTCCCAGAACAGTCTTTGCAGAATATCAAATTAATAAAAATACACAGGATATTTCAGTAAGTGTTTTGTTCATCAAGAAAACAGACAATCTTAATGTCATTTATTTCTTTAAGAGAAATATCTTTGCTTCTTCCCGTAGAGAAAGGGGCTGCTTCTCCTCCACATGCTGTTCTTAGAAAGCCATGTGTTTATTCCAGGAGCAGTGCTGGTCCATATTGTGAGCCATCACACCAGCCTGGGAGCTGAGCACACCTCTCCATATGCAAAGCAAGGGCAGCTTCCCATCTCCTTCACTCAAAGCAGGGAAAAGGAAGATGTGCATCCTATCAAAAAGGTAGTGAGTTTGCAGAGTCCACACCAGTGGGGAATGTAAAGATACATTTCCAATGGTCTAGCTCTCACTGTAACAGTAGCAGTGATGCAGCAAGAGTCCTGAGAGAACTCTGTCAGTGTAGTCAAAGCTCTGATGTCCTTCGAATGATCAATCTTCCAGTCAGTGGAACTGCATCTCAACTTGAATTTAAGAGTTGAAAAAGTTCTTAAAAAGTTATGCAGTATTAACTACTCCCTAGTTGTCATATTTATATTTTATTTGCCTAATGACATAACAATTAAACCAATTTCTTCCTTGTCTAGGTCTAGCACAGCTTAATGCCTCTGTATTCTAGCTTTTCACTGGTTTCCCTATAGCATTTATTATTACCTACTCTTGCATTGTTCCTCTTGTTCCTGTTCTGAGTGGTTTAATTCATTCATACTTTGATTTAGAAGCAGAGATATCTACGACATTGAACAGAGACATACACAAACACACAACTCCAACTTTGTTCCAGATTTCATCCATCACAATCTGATGGTTTTCACAACTCTATCAGAAGAAAACATGCCTAAGATTTCATGTGATGCTTTACGAATTCCTTTAAAACTCCCTAAAAATTAATGTTAATTCTTCCTCTTAAGTGAAAGACTGTACTTCACCACTGTCAGTCTAAAGAAAATGAACTGCTGAAATAAGATCTACATGAGGAGGCTACCCTAAAAAAAGTGTCCAAAAGGACATTCAGCTTACAGCTGACACATCCTACAGGGGGGAGTAAGGCCACACTTTTTCCAAAGACAGTTCCAAAAGGATTTACAAATAGGTGTCACTGAGAGTTTTGAAACGAGACTCTGCTGTTAATGTGTGTTCTATTGCTCCATTCCTCTGATGAGGAGTTTCACAAGTCTGTTGCAACATCACATCAAACGCTTCATTTCATTTGAAAAATTGAGTAGGTGCATCTTCATTGAACTCTCTCGGCAGAAGGGTCCTGAATGTTAGCACAACAGCCTCTAACAGCACAGACTTAGCACACAAAGACAAATACAAAAAGACAAGCATTTCAGAAGAATTGATTGAAACACAAGTTTCTATGCACATGCACAAATATACATGTAAGATGAGCTTTGCCACTATGTAGTGGTTCAAGAAGATTCTGCTACAATATTTACTCACAGAGAAACAGCACAGCTCTTTGCAAGGAAGAGTTCTTCCAATTTAAACTGAGAGGTCCCAGAGCATAGGTCCAGCCTGCATGAAGGTACTGAGAAACTAAACATAAAAATTTAACCTCTAAAAAATTGAACCAGCTAAATAAATGTTATTTGACCAATTATCAGCTGACGCTCAGTACATGCCTTTATGCCGTCCTTGGAAATGAAACACAAGACTATTATTTAGCCAAAACTGGACTCATTGTTCTGAACAGCTCGTAATCTTGTGGAGTCCCCTTCCAAGCTAAAGAGCCTGAAGTCATGCAGAGGGCTCCCTGAAGCAGCACTTATCTGGTCACACACATCTAGATGACAGCACTGTTGTTCTCATTAGGATGACAACTTCTGGTACTGACAAGTGACTCTTGAAATGTTATTCCTTGCTGAAGCAATTTTGAATGTTAGAGACTGAAAAACAATGGGATATTCTCAGTAGAATAATCAGCTTCTTTTTAATTGAAAATTCACATATACAGCCTGTGGTACTCTATACAAATTAATGCAAAGAGCTTCATATAATACAGTGCCTTTTGGACTGATCTCACTTTACTTATATATACACCAGCTGAATTGTTCAGTGCAAATGCTCCCATGTCTCTTCCTGACACTGGATTAAAAATTAAGACAGTCCAGCCTGAGACATTTTTTTTCCCAGAGGCACCAAAGGTGGCTTTCTCAGTCACTCAGTCTTGAGACGGAGAGCTTCCCGCCGTTGTTTCTGAACCGTCCTGGAATCTTCCCACAGACTGGGTCCTCTGATGTTCTCCCAGTTATCCAAGTTAGATTTTTCCAGCTTCTGCAGACAAACAGCAAAAAAAATAGGGTCACCTTGATGGATCCATGATTTAAAGGACATATGATTCCAAACGGATTTTTTTTTTTTTTCCCCACAAGAAACTCAATATCACCATTGGGTTGATGAACTTTCATCTACTCTGTATGAGAAGTTCAACAAGAAGGAAGAAAAACCTAGTAGTTATCCATATAGCTACATAAATGACTAATACAGGCTTTACTGCATCTGCTTCTCAGCAGGTAAGTAACATTTAAGGACAGGAAGCACTGCAGCATGTGAGCAAGACTGAAGATAGATACCTTGCATTCACTTTTTCTCCTCTTGTTTTCCAGATCTGTTCTTCAACTGCAAGTCTGCCAAACACTGAAGTAGTAGGAGTGACAAGTATTGGTATAGCTCAAACAGAAGGATTAGTAATTAGCGGGCTGAAGTATCCTGTCAGCAAAAATACAAAGCATGCTGGAAAGGATTCATTATCTAGCACAAAGAGAGACAGCAACAGTGCAAACCCCTTCAATCCATGTGATTTTAACTTGAGAGAGGTATGAAATGCTTTCTGCTGACTAGTCTCCCATGGCACCCAGCCACCACAGACCTCTTACTAAGTCATACATGAGATATGCTTACTGAACTGTCAGGTATTGAAAAACTAGATTTCATTACCCTTTTTTTTGCCTACTACTATCATCCCCCCTCAGGATTACCAATGACTTAGAGGCAACACAAATGAAGAACAGGTGCCCTTCTGACCTCACCTACCTATGTGCTGCAGTCAAAGAACACAAACATGTATTGCATCTTCACAGTCCTATTGGCAGAGACATAGCTTTCCCTTCCCAAGACAGAGACCTCAAGTCTCACATGCCAACTGTGGAACAGCACACTGACACGGTGGGAGACTGAGGAGAGGGTCAGCACCACTGCCAGAATCAGCACTGTCCTAGACACTACTAAACAGGGCGACACTGCATTCCAGTAATGAAAGATACTTACTGCAGTGGGACCTAAACCTGACCTGTGATCAAGGCCTCATCTCAACAAATGCTGTAAAAATACACCAGAAAATACTTCACCCTGCCCCAAGCCTGTGGCCTAATTTGTCTACTATCAATCATTCAAATAAATGGCAAATATCTGGGGATTTGAATAATGGCTGCAAAAAAAATCAACAGCTACAACAGAATAGACCTGCTGCTTAATTCATGTTATGTGAAAGTTTCTTGACACTTCTGCAGGTGAGGAAATTGCAATGAGGTTAGTCAGGTATCCAAAGAAATTAGGCATGACTCTATAGAAGATATATGAGAACACATGCACAAACATAGCAGACTTTCACAAGGTAAGAGCAACTGAATTTTTTGTACAGTAGAGTTGGCATAGGTCTTTCTGAAGAATTGTCTTTACTACTTTATACATCTTATGCTTAGCTAGTACTTCATTTCTCCAGAAGGGATCTGAGCTGACATGGAAGGAGAGAGAAGGAGGAAAGGTACTCATCATCCCACACAACAGTGACTATCTCCTCCGATGGCAAATTCAGAATTTAACATCTAATTCTAATGGAAGTGTCAAGGAAACTACACTCAAAATAACCTTATGCTTAAACAGAAGGGATGCACACTGATTTAATTGAACACAAAAGTATTACACACCTGTGAGGATCTCAACTATTACAAATTCGTTTGTCTCCCAAAGCCTGAACATTAATCAACTTATTTTAAAATAAGTACAACAAACCTGTGGTATCTAAAGATAGGCTACATAAAGAAGTCTATCAAAAGAGACGTGCGTACTGAAGATCTTTACCAAAAAGTTCATATTAATTTGTCCCTGAAACTTCACAGAGGCTTTACAGAGAGGAGGTTTGTCAAAAACAGGAAGCATTTCAAAACTATAGTATCCATACAAACCAGTACCAGAAAGTATCTTGGCAGTTTCCAATAGAAATCATAAAGGTACCTAGAAAACACACTGGGATACACTGACAGAATAAAACAACCAAGGGTTACGTGCAGTGAATGGCATTGCCTGAAATGACAAATAAGATCTATTGATCAATTAAGAAATAAAGGTTCTAATGCATACATAGGAAGACTAAATTTTTTTATTATCATTGTATTTATAGAGATCATTAACATTTTGTGTCATGTATAAACACTTCGTACTATCTTACTGCAATTCAAGAAAAAAGCAACCTTCCTTACTACCATGGGACAGTATCTGTAAAAATTTAGTTTATGGAACAGTTATCAGTCATCAGAAGACAGAATGATTTGACAATCCAACTTTCTGAACTCATATTATCCAATTTTGGAATAACAGAGCACTCCTGTTGCATGTGGATAAGCAAAGGAGTATCGCTACTGAAAGGGGATGTGAAAATCTGTACTGCAATACTTTCCTTCTGAATAGCTATTTTCACATATATCTATGCTGGTTCTGGGATAGAGTTACATTTTTTTATAGTAGCAAGTATAGGGTTATGTTTTGGATTTGTGTTGAAAACAATGTTGGTAACACAGGGATGGTTTCATTATGGCTGAGTGGCTCACACAGTGCCAAGGCTGTCTCTGCTGCTCCCTCCACCCCACCTGCCAGTGAGCTGATGATGCACAGGAGGGGACACAGCTGGGGCAGGTGACCCCAAGTGACCACAGGGGTATCCCACACCATATGGCGCCGTGCTCAGCATGTAAAGCTGGGGGAAGAAGGAGGAATAGGGTGACATTCAGAGAGATGGAGTCTGTCTTTCAGAGCAACCTTTAGATGTGATGGAGCCCTGCTCTCCTGGGAATGGCTGAACACCTGCTGCCCATGGGAATTGGTAGACTAGTCCCTTGTTTTATTTTGCTTACACCAGCACCTTATGCTTTAGCTATTAAACTGTCTTTATCTCAATCTATGAGTTTCCCCACTTTTACCCTTCCAAATCTCTCCCCCATCCCATCATGGGGAGTGAGTGAGCCAGCAGCGTGGGGCTTGGCTGTAGGGGTTAAACCAAGACAGTACCTCACATACAACTGAGCAAAACCCTACCCTTTTTGCTTGGTCACTGACATGAAAACTCTTACAACAGAATCATCCCAGAATAAATAGCTACATTAGATGTCGAATAAAGCCATGCACATAGCTACATTTTAAATTCATCTTAGTGATGAGAAGACCAGATTGACAGTACTCTTAATTAGGTGCAGCAACAGCTGCAAAGTTACACAGATCCTTGAGATTGCCTGAGCTGTACAGTGAGAATTCAGGCAAGCAGCTAGTTCTGCTCTCAGATGAAGCTGAGCAGAAGTCAACATCTTTCATTTTATCAGGCTAGGTCTTCTTAATTTCTTATTTCTTTTTTCATTTGCACCACTTGGACTCTGCCTATCTAACTTTATAAAGATATCACATCACATGTCAAACTACTTCCAGCTTTTACTAAACTGAAATTCATATAAACTGGAAGCCTAAAACCCAAAATACTTCTCCTAATTCAAATGTACTAAACACTCAATCATTGGAGACTCCAATGAAATGTAATCAGATCAGATCAGCAGCACTTTTCCTGCTTGTCTCAAATAGCCCAAAGGATATTGAAAATTAGCTGTTTAAAGTAAGATCAGTGTAGTCCATTAAATCTACTGATTCACTCCCTAAATCAGTTAAACTGCCTCTTAAGAGTACAGAACTGACAGAAGCTGTAAATTCAAGGGAAAAAATGCAGTTATTCAGACAGGCACAGTGAAAAAGAAAAGTATGTTCAACTGTTTGCCACACTTGACTTTTAAGACTTATTAAATGGGATTGACTGGTGCAAAGGTACCAAAAAGGACATAAAAAGACCTTCACTTCTTAATTGCTGGTTCCAATGCCTGGCTTAAGTACAATTATAAGCCTCTGACAGCCTTAAAAGAAGACAAAATTTAAAAAATAGTTTGGATTCTACTCTTACAGGATAGTCTTCATGCCACAATACACAAACTGAAGTCTTCAGAAATTCATTTAGATCTATTAGTGTTCAGTCTGAATAAATTCAAGGTGGCCACTTGAAAAAATGCTTGGCATTAGTCTGAGTTTCTCACATGTGAAATGGGGGATAAGAGAATCCTGTTTACTTTACAGCTTGATGAAATAAATTCTGTGATGAGCACCACAGAAAGAAATAGCTCTGATATAGAGACCCAATTATTTCCCATCATTATAGTAAGCAAACCCATTTGCAGACAAAAGATGAGCCAGGGAAAAATATCCTCATGGCTGTAAGAGGCAGTGAAAGAATTAAACCAATTGAACAGTCTGTTTTTTAAAAGTGTCAAAAAAGCTTGAAGAGACAAAAGGTATATTGAAGAGCTCTATAATGATACATAGATGAAGAGGTACAGAATTACAGCTAACACTGAATCTGCTGTCTTGTGCATAATTGAAAATCTTAACTTCATCACACTGATATGGTTTTAGTGGGGTTTTTTATATAACTCTTTCACAGAGCCATCTTTTTGACATCTCATTTTCTTAATATAAACTGGGTGTTACTTACTTTGCCTAGGAAGTGACAGAATTTAATATCTGCAATTAGTGATTTAATAATCTGGGATTTAATAGCCCATGATTAGTGATTGAATCTCAGTTTAAAAAGAAGTGGTTTTTTCCCAATTAGAGAATGTTTAGTTTTTATGCTATTAGAAAACAAGCAAATTAGTAAGCAGCAAAATATGGCCAGAATGAGATTGTTTTTTGTTCATTAAGGGAAGAATTGCTGGGGGTGAGGGGGGACTGGCACAGAAGATGTGTACTGAGGAACTGCACCACCAGTTTCTCTGTGCAATCTTTTCCCCATGCAAAGCACGTGAACAGGACTTGCCTCCACCTAGGAGGTGTCATAGAATTTAATTAATGTTCACAGAGTACTCTCATAGTTTTATTTGAAGGTGTAGTGATACAAAGTGCTCAGTAAACTAAACAATTGTATCACTCAGCTAAAACTACATAATTACAAAGCCCTGAATTTTTAA